TTATTGATTTTTATTTAGACAAAAATAGTACCWATCCTTTTTAGATTGTATTAGTTTTTATTGAAATTCGGTAGATAATACAAACAAAATGTTCAATTCAAAACTATTATCGTGAAAGAAATCATAATAAGTGCACACTTAAAAACAATAATTGATCATATAATCATAATATTTAGTACATTCTATAAGGTTTCCAATGTCAGAATTTGAGTGATCCCACGTCTTTACAATTATAATATTATTCTACAGTTTCATTAAAAATATTATCGATATTCCAATGATCGTATCCAAGATTTTGGACGTTTGTCAAAGAATTATGATACCGACTGGCGTGTGGTGTAAACACTGCAAGTGGTCTGTAACCGAAAACAAAATATTGTCTTAAAATAGATATTTTACAATGTACATATTAAGTATCACGTAGAATGTATTTTAAAACCGGAACTAAAACTTATGTTGTGGGTAGAGTGTAAAACTGTTAGCCTACAATAATTTCAGTGTAGCCACCACAATGAATGGCATAGCAATAAATTATAAATCTTAACTAGATATAATATACTAAMAAAGCTGGTTGGTACCTATAAACGTGGTTTTTTCCCGCCGTTCATAGAACACCGGTAAAAATTTAAAACCGTCATCGCTGTTTTAAAATTCTCTCCATTCTACCAGTTAACGATCACGTAAAAAAAATGTATTTTATTTTCCACTTACACGTTTAACGGTTTATAATAATAGTTCTTAGACACTTCATCGACTTCTACAATAGACATCGTCAGCGGCGGTGTCTCCAGACGTCTTACTGTGCCAGCAATCGGAGGGATGTTTCGTGTCGATGACATTTTTCCCGCACAAAATATAACTTCATAACATCGTTTATGACGGTTATTGTTTTTTTTTTCCGACGATTGCGACCTGACAATGTTTGATTATTATTCACAGGTGTTAATATTTGCGAGGCCGTTACGTGCCGCCACGCCGTATAAACGCGTGCGATATTTTGCAAAATTGTTTTCAAAAATATTTGTACATGCTGCAGTGCGACACTATCTTGTTGAATTTTCAAAACAACGACAGGCCGGACGATATCGCACGACCGCCACCGTATCAGATGTCGCGGCGTTATCTGCGTGGAAATGATAAGAAAAAAAAAAGACCACCAAATTGTGCCCATAAATAACCGGTCGGACATGTCAGCCGGGACACAATACGTTGGGACGCGGTCCGATCAGAAGCGAATTATAACACTTTGAGCAGTAACGACAACGCCACTCAGCCAGCAGCGACTCTCACTGAGCAGCCGAGCGAGACTTGCGACGAAGACGCGCACTGTGGTCGTAAACGATAATATTAGTATCGAACGTACAGCGGACCAGATCATCGACGGTGACGCCATGACGACGCGCAATCACTGTGGCCACCGTGCGTTCACGTGCGCACTGCTGGCCATCGCGGCCACCTCATCGGTGTCTGTGGCTGGAAAACCTCACCAGAGTTTCACGCCGGACGATTACACGAGAGCTATGTTCGCGCAGTACTTCCCCGCGGCCGATTCCTCGAAGATGGTCGAACTCACTCCAACCGAACTCGCTGAACCGACTTCTTTCCGGTCGAGCAGGTCCGACAACCGCAAGATCACCAAATCAACGTCATTGGTCAACCACGGCCACTCGGATGATCCGCAGCCCGAAAACCACGGCGTCGACGTCCAGGCGGAGGTGGCTGCGGCGGCTGTACCGTGCAAGGCGATCGTCGCCGACAGGTCGCAAATCAACGACACATCGTCGGCGAACACCGTCGAGAAGCTGTCCGCGTTTTACGAACAGCTGAAGAGCCAACAGGAAGCGCTGGCACGTCAACAGTTCCAGCAGCAACTGTACGAGCAGCAACAGCGCAGGCAGGAACAGTTCAGGCTCGTCCAGGAGCAAATCCAACAGCAGTACTATCAACAGCAACAGCACGCCATGCTCATGTTGGACCAAATGCGCAAAAACCCTGCGTTTGTAGGCCAGTTGGCGGCGTTCGTCGACCACAAGGCCAAGTCCTTGGCCCAAAATGGGATCCCGGAAGCCGCGGCACTACCGGTAGCTGTACCGGAAGTCCCGGAAGTCACAGTAAGCGTGGAGGCCAAGAGGCCACCAACGCACCAGGAAAAGGAAAAAACCATTGAGAAACACATGGCCGTTGAACAGGACAACGACTCGGATGACTCTGGTGGCAAACGTGTGGACGCTAGACAGGTGGCCAGTCAGAAAGTCTTCTCCTCCGACCGCAAACAACATCCGGTAACATACGACGAATATAACGACAATAGCGAAGACGATACGCCGGCCTCGTTTGAAGACGAAGAGACCCATCCGATGTCGAAGAAGTTTTACACTATGGCCAACGAGTAAGACGTGGACACTTTAATATTATTATGACTCATATAAATTAACGTAAACCTTTTATCTATTAAACTATTTAAATACGTATTATCATTCCTATTACTGATATATGAATAAATGATTAAATTATTATTTTCATTAAATATTAACAGTGATATTTAAAACCATTCGATTTTGACTGCTATTTTTGTTAAGCTAATTATGTTATAACTATTATTTTTAAACATATTTTCCTACTCAATTTTACTCAAATATTTAAATATAATGACAAAATAAAATTATTGAATTATTTTGTTTACTTTAACTATAATAAAATTACGGACATTTATTGTATATTTTTATTTAATATAAAATAATATGTTATAATATAAGCTTCTGTGCTAATAAGGGTTTTGTGTTTTTGCGAAAGATTATAGATTAATTAAAATTACATATTTAATTTTGTTTTTTATTATGATGAAGGAATTTTAAATATTCCATTGAAATATAACTTACTATAAAATGTGGAATTACTAATATGAAAATACCAAAATTTGTTTTTATATTATATTACGGTATACTTACATATTATTGTTGAGTTGAAACGTATAGAAATTCTTGGTAACGAAACACTCCCCGAGAGTCAAGAAAACAAATAAAAAAAAAACCTATATATTTTAGTATTATGTAATATTACTTTATAATTTTAATGTGAATTATATTTTAAAATATTATTTATTATAATATATCAACTATGTTATGCCAAAATAATATATATTAATCTGTAAATAAAATAAATTTGTATCGATGAAAATATTATAATATGGTGTAGCTATTATTTTTGAACTAAGTTGCAGATAACAGACCTTATTTCGTGTATGATGTTTATGGCATACAGCGATTTCAACACTTATTTGCACTTTACGAGTCGTATAAACACTAAAAAATAATATATTTATATATAATATTATGATACATATTCCATTCTTTGATTCCACGTACATATCGTATTTATATTTTGTTCAAGAATTATAATATCTAATTGAAATACGCAATTGTATATACATGTAACATACTGCTTAATTTCAACTTCTTTATAATCTATTTTCGTGAAATTTTAAAAGAAAGGTAGTTGCATATTTTAATTAAACGAACTCAAACAACAAACAAAAACTAAAAAAAAAAACAATCAATACTAGTGTGGATAAACTGCCTGTGTCGATTGGTGTAACGTTTAATATGGTTATTTTAATAGAATGGATTATTATTAATTCATAGAATTCATAACCATATTATTTTTTTCATAAGTTTTGCAATAGACGTTACAATATAAATAGTATACTTTCCTGGGAATATTACATTATATTTTATTAATTTTACTGACAAAGTTAACTATACAACAAATTGCCAAACAATCGTAATTATAACAGCTTGTAGTATTACCTATTCATTAAAGAGTKATAAATATAAACGGTTATATGCAAATGTATACCTAAATAACTAATTTGTTCTAAATAAGAATCTTAAGTCAATATAATATAATGAAAATGCATACTGATGTGCAATTAATATGCTGTTTATTTTTAAAAATCTGTATAAGCTATAAAGCATTACAATTATTATTTGTTTAATTTGTATGCACATACAATTCCAACAGTGTTATGTAATAATAAACCTATCTACCTATTATATTATTTATTTTAAATGTTTTAATATCTATGCACCAGGAAAAATATATCGTTTAGGCAATTACTAAAAAATTGTAATAGCTATCGAACGGGAGACTAGCCCGTCGCAGCTATACTTAAATGTGTGATTGGTTATTTTTATCAATAAACGATTGGGGCCGGAGGAGAAGTACTGGCACCATGGTTCCTCCACTGGTTCTCGATAAAAAYGGGGAGAAAAAAAAAGGCAATTACTAAAATAAAGTAATATCATAAAAAATACGACAGTACAATTATTTTCTGATACCTATCTATTTTATCACTTTATATCGAGTAACGTATTCTGGTTGTTATTTATTTTTTATTCATGTTATGCGTATTCTACTGCTAAATTTTTTTTAAAAAATGTAATAATTGTATTTCAGCATTTTATAAGCACGTGATCTATCATTTACCATTGTCTTCGTGACAATCGTTTTCGCATAAACGTTCAATAAATAGTGCACATTTGCAGAACTACTCATACCATCTACACGGAGGAATTAAACTCATAATTCGTTAATGAGGTCGTCAATGTAATCGTATATTTCCTCGTGACATTGTTCGAATCGAAAAAAAAATCTCAAGTTCCGCTTATGACTTATATTGTTTACACATTATCGTTSGTCAGTCGAAGTAGTGTTTACAGTTCCTCGCAGAGCTATGCGAAACATTCGCAGTCGACCATTGATTTGTGTACATAACAATATAATATCATTAGGTAGGTATGTTATTATTAATAACATCGACCTGGTCTACTTTTGGCGGCTAATTATTATACAACACAATAGTTACCCTTTATACTCAATATCGTATTTTTACCGTTTCGTAATTCGCGCCAGTGTTGAATGTTTAGCTTGGGGAACCGAACGAAAGGTTGCGAAACGATTTCCCGTCGGTCAGCACATTTRTTTTGYTTACRYAGTCGCGCGACCGTATTTCCGTGTATATATCACAGGTGGCCGGACACACGGAACCTATACCGACATCGATCGCCGGACAGGTCAATTGTCCGCCGTGAACATCAARYGACGTAACCTAATACAACATGAAGTTGGTCATTGTCGTGGCGTTGCTTGGGTTGGCGGCCACAGCCGTCGGCGCCTCGTCGGCGCGCGTGAAGAAGGACGTCGGGTCGAAGAACAGCAACGAACAGTGCGTGTACGCGGACGTGTCCAAGACCGGCAAGAAGACGATCGTCTGCGGTGATCCGGCGCCACCCACGCTGGCCTCCATCTTGACTAATCAGCTACAGAGACAGTCGACGACCGCCGAGGCCAGAGTCCCGTCGGAAAAGTGTTTGGACCTTCTGCACAAAACCAAACCCGCGCCGGTGTCCTTGTACTTACAACCGCAGGCCGTCCACCAACAGCCGCACTACGAACAGCTGCACGTGATTCACCATCAGGTGCCTCAGGTGCCCCAGGTGCAGTACTTGCAGCAGCCACAGCAGCCAATGGTACACTATCAGCCGACGGTCGTCTACCAAAAACCGATTGCACAAGTGCTACCTTCCAAGTCTCTGTGTTCGTTGAACAGTGGTTGCTCAGACGCCGGTTACACGGGTGGTAATTACATGAGCGGCAGTTATTTGGGCGGCGGTTATTCGGGTGGCAGTTATTTGGGCGGCGGTTATTCGGGCGGCGGTTATTCGGGCGGCGGTTATTCGGGCGGTGGTTACCGTATGGCCGACGGATCTTACCCAGTACTGACGAGGGCAGTAGACGATGTCGACGAGATGGTGGGCCCCGACGGATTATACGAAGATGATAACTTGCAACCGACACCTCAGAACTACATGGAGGCGGGACCGTACGAAGACGCTTCGGTTCGCAAAGGGTTCGGTGGCAGCCGCCCAAGAACAGTGGCGATGCGACCCACGCCGCTGTTCGTGCCAGCAATGTTGAGATCAGCTGACTCGTACGAATACGAGGCCGGCGCTGGTCCTGAATGGCAGCCGCAGCAGCGGTTCGTATCGGAACCTGGGTTACAGTTACCAGGCACGTACCCGCAGCAATCGTTGGTCGGCCGGTCGATGGCTACAGCGTTGGCGGAGGGTCCGTTTGACAGACGGCAGCTAGCATTAAACGGTTACATGCCYGTTCGGGCTGAGGCGATTATGCCAACACCGGACCGGTACAACTATGGCGGATACTCAAGAACAGCTGGACAACAACCGCAGCTACAGCAGCAAATGCTACAACAACAACAACTGCAACAGCAGCAACTACAACAACAACGACTGGAGCAGCAGCAACTACAGCAACAAMAACTGCAACAGGAGCAATTACTGCAACAACAACAACAACAGCAACAGCCGCAGAAAGAAGTCGAACCGGTCCAGCAGCTATCCGGTGGTGAGGTCGAAGGAGTGAATGTAGCGGTGACCGCAAAAGCCGATCCAAAAGATCTAAAATCGGCTGAGCGCAAGAAAAACGTCAAAAATTAAACTCTGCGATAYGGTTAATCAGTAGGTATAAAATATTTAAAAATTGTTTTCCGTGTAAATATTTTCCGCTCAACTAACTGGTTCACTAATTTTTATTGTGTCCGACTAGTCGTTAATGACCGAACAGCGGCTATGCCTTTTTTAAKATATTTATTTTACCATGTGATTTCAACATTGTTTTTTTTCTCATGCACACGGTGTTTCGATACTATAATAATWATTATTTTATAATATAGTATAATAAAATATCGTTTTATATGAAAAAAAATGTTATTATAATAATTATTAGTGATGACTATTTTTATTTYTTATTATTGTACCTATACCTATTACTGAACGTGTGTATAATTATTTTAGTTTACTCTCATCTGTATATGACAAATAAGGCTCAATAATTTATACATGATTTATCGAATTAACTGTAACACATTTTTTTTTTTGTATGCATAATTTTGGTCACTTATAAATAGAATATCTTAAACTCTAACACACGYATAGTTTAAAAACAATAAACTCAAAAATATTTCAGTGAATATTCCAAAAAACAAAAATACAGGTGGAACAAATAAAATATTATACCAACTGTGTTATAGGTATTTTATGCATAGTTAATTGTACATGGTGATATCTACAGGAAATAAATTAATAAATATGTATTCTAAATAGTATGACAAATACGACTTATAAAATTGATCTTTATATTTTACGAATGTTTAGCAGTTTATTATTTTGTTTTAAGTCGTTATAGTTTTTGTGTACGACACATATTTTACTTTTGGTAAGCGAAAACAGTTTTCGACCTCTCTCAACAGACTATAAATATATTATWATATTTATATTTTGAAAAAATCATTAAAATATGCGGCTACATTACTTATTTAAGCACTAACTAACTTTAGTTGTCATTCCAATTCGTCAAAAAAATAATATTGGTCAATTTTTTTATTCACGAACTGTGTTAACATAACAKGTAAGGTACAATAATTAATTATAATTTATATTTAACCAGTCTATATCGATAAAGTTTATGTGCATCGTGTAAACAAACGTTTTTTAACAATTTTATTTGATCGGGACTGTGACATGGACTAGAGTAAATACCTACTATGAGCCATAGTACATTTTTAGCCCTTGACTAAAAATTAATAATAATTTTAMACTGTGATGGCCAGACACCTTGTGACGCCTTTCAACTTGTAGCATAGCAAATGACCGAGTTATATCGTCGGGAGTGGTCCCAAACTCTCAAAACTCATCTACTCTGCCACACTGTCTGTAAACTACTACAAAAAAGTTCGTCATGGTAACGCCTTGAGAACTTAAATTGCATGGTAAAATATTATTATACTATACAAATGAACAAACATCAGCAATTATAATTCACATGCACTATTAAGCTGCAGTCGATGGCTTCACGGTGTTTTTCAATATAAACTGTGATTAACAAACGTTTATATCGCATTCGCTGTGTCATATTGACACTATAATTCGGCCAACCAAGATTTTGATTAATATTCGTATGACGAATACCAGAAAACACAATATAATAGAGTGCGATCTATTGGTAACGTGTAGAATTATTCTGAGTGTTTGCGAAGTAACAACCCTGACAGCGCTCCAGTATAAGTTTTTGTTTAAATTTTCATATGTTCTACTATCATATCCCATTTGATTTTAATGGTCGACATAAAATCATATGAATCTTATGTTTCAAATTTTAAAAAGCTAATATATTTTTAGAGTTTATTGAGTAGAAACACTGTATCTTTTGATAAAGTAAAAGGTGTATTTAATTGAAAATGTATAGTTTCCATAACTATTAGGTGGACCCCTAAGTTCTCTTTTGCTAAAAAAAAACATTCTTATGTATAAGGGCAAATACGTAATACTGGTCATTTTTAATTTGATAAAAAATCTCTTTTTAATATTCTCACGAACTTGAAACTTAGTCACCACTAACGATGTTGCAAATATGTTAATGCTTCGATTTTCTATAGAACTCTATAATRCCGCAATTATTATTTTTGAAACTATTGGATTTTTCGCTTGGAAGTTAGATCGGTATTCTTCACATTCAGCCCATATAATGGCAACCTACCTTATTATACATATCCAAGTATCTAACATAATTGATTAAGCACATTTTTTCTTTAGACTGCTTTWAAAAAAATGTAATATTTTTCGTCGTACATGATTAATATTACTCGTATTATACATACTATTTTATGTCTAGACGAGTGCACGAACGGTCGAGTTTCACACACAGCTCTCGTAATATCATCTCTAATCATCGTTTCTTGAACATCCCTCTGCCTAAATTTAATGTAAAACGATGTTAGGAAAYATMCTATTATACTCTTTTTACYATTGGTTTGTAATATGCGTAAATTAATATTATATATTATCGAGCATTTCGTTGTTTCTAAGCTCGCACACAACTCTTTCAATCTTCCTCTCCCGGCCCAGCAACAAACACCAAYGCGACCACTCGACTTGATTATACAGCATAATACGACACTTGACTGCAGTCCACACAATACGCTGTATAATATATGCGTCGTGTACATCACATACATAATAGTTGGTGCGGCGCAAACGCTGCCTGGAGCAAAACGACCGGGACGGACGTAATTCGATTTTGGCGGAATAACTGTATATTATGTAATATATATGCAGCACGTCAAAGGGTATACGAATCTCCGGGGACGAAAAAGGGTTACGACAGCCGTGATACAACGATAGTAATGTTGTAGACAGCAGCAATCGTACGTATATTATACAAAAAAAAAAAAGGAAGTGTTTGAATTTATCTGCAGCCGTTGGTATACAGGTGCACCCGGAAGACTTGTTTTACGCACATGGAAGTAACTTGTGTTGCAGCATACGGCAAAAAACAAAGAAATGTCATCAGTTGAATCTCAATGCTAGCCTGTAAACTAGGTATTTTCTAATCTTTTCGCTGATTAACGACGGTGGCCTGCATGATTTACCAAGTTTCTTGCTACCACGCACTTGATAATCATAATATTATTGACATGACCCTCCCCCCCCCTCACCGCAATATAAATGGATATTAGAGCACGCGATTCACCTATCGATTTATCTGCTTATTTTATCATCGTGTTAACTATGCACTATCGGTTATTATAACAACTTTATAATGTAACAAATGTGTAACCACATCATTCGAGTGTTAAAATAGGGGTACCAAAATTTAAGCAGGCCAATTCTTTTTCATCGTAGCAAGTAGTTAAAGGGTTGTGTATTTAATATTTTAACGAGTAAAGATATTGTTGAAAGTTGGAAATAGTGTTACTCGTATACCAATAATATACATACCCGTTATGCTATATCTACACATTATGGTTTTCATTGTAATATATTTTTCCCTAAAAAGAGACCACTATATGGCCCTACGGGGTGCCGTTTATGAGCAACTTCCGCTTCCCGTCATTTAAACTCAACMAATTTACCTATTGTATAACACTGTAAATCCAAATTTTAAATAAAAACTTTGTTAAAAAAAAAAAAAATTGTTTTTACTTTTATACAATTCTTTATCATAGAGCTTGTAAATTCTATGACAGAATAATACAGGGGGGGGGGAAATTATACCCTGAACTTTTCCCTTCCTTGTTGCAGATTGTATTCGTATCCTTACGAAACCTAATATATATCGGAACAAAACATGGAAACACTTTACTGCACTCAACTCGATGATTAGTATTTAAAAGACGATTATCGATTAAGGCGGATCAAAAATTCTGGGTTGTCACAATCTTTTCCCAATACACCACCATCGCTATCTCACCTCTACGAGGGACCATAGTGCTTATATTTTCCGGTAATATAATCATTTTTAACAGAATGCTTACGTAAAATTGAAGTAAGCAGTGGGATTAGTAATTTCCTAAATTGCAATAATAAATCAAAACATTAATATAATGTATAATATTATGATCATTACATTTTTATTAAATTATAAATCATAGTTTTCCAAAAGTAATGGGAGTATAATAATATGTTTAATTTCCAATTGTCAATTGGTATATGTGGCCTGTATATCCGGATATAGTTAGGGATCTGTTGTTTCCCTAGTATATTTTCATCTAAAATATCTATGATATCTATACTATAAATATATAATACCCGTACACACACATTGCATATGTCATTAACAATTGTAAGAATATATTTTTGAAAATAGTGGCAAGACTAGATATTTATATTTTTCTAATGCACTACTAGGTAAATTGGTATATGAATTATGAGGACCTCGACATATCATTCTAACTACAAACGAGGTTAAACACGATAACTGTAAAAAATATATATATATTTATAATTCTGATGAATTTATTAGGAAACAAACACATGACAATATTATATCTGTAATAACTTGCAACTAATATATAAATATATAATGAATACGTTTTAATTAACTGTTTAAATTTACTGATAAATAAAGACTTAAAAATTAAAAATGTTAATTAATATTTAAAATTTCAATGTCCAGAGAAAGATTCCTTCTATATTTATCAATGACTTTAGTTTAAATAAAATATTGCTGGTAAGAAATTGAATCTTTTAAAGTTTAATAGTAATAAAATTATAATTATTTATACATCTGATAAAATAATTTGTATAAATACTCACTATATATAGAAAATGTGAAAGTTACGAGTATATATACCCATATTGTTTATAACTTTTTAGACGCTTAAATGTTTAAAAGACTGTCAAATTCAGTTTATTTCAGTTAAAACGCCAACATATGTGAGTATACAGCATATATTTTGAAGATAAATTTAGTTTGTACCTTCAACTTTATTTCACGTAGCTATACACTCACGTATATATCTTTTTAATTATTTTCAACGTGACCTGCGCGTTTTGACACTAAACAAATGTTTAATTAATGTTCAGACCAAATTGAATCACAAGTAAAAGTTGTCTAAGTTGACTACATTTTATGTTTTAATTATTTCCTTTTTATACGAGTAAGTTGTATAAACTAGATACTGAAATATTTTGAATTACTTTTTCACTTAACCTGCAATATAGCTCATTATACAATGCGTGATACTTCAAAAAAAAAAAAAANTCCAGTGAAAAAAAAATTTATCACCGTTAGGCGAAACTACTCTTGTTGAAAACCTTTGTCGTATATATAATTGTGTTCACCGAAAAAAAAACACTGACGCTATAAATATATATTAT